TTAACATTTGGATGAAAAACCTTCAGCAAATCCCTGAGCTGTAGAGATTGGGAAGCTGAAAAACCATCCTGAAAGGCAGTGGCAAATTACAGAGATTCTTTTCAAGAAAGCTGCATGGTTACATACATGTAATGATTAGCACTGCATTTGACCAGTCTTGTTTGTTTGTTTAAAACAGAGGAGTTGAAAACTTATCAAAATGGCATTTTTTTGTTTGTGTGAGTCACCAATCCAGTAAGTGCTCATTAATTTTAACTGACAGCTTCAGTCTCCCAGGGGATAATTATTATTTTGCCAAGCTTTCTCAAGGCTGAAAAATATATTAAGGCTGTAACCAATACTAAATAGAAAATTGGCTACATTTCAAAAACAGAACAAGTTGCTTACAAGAAAAGGACCCACAAAGAACTACTTTACTACATCTGGATTATGCTGGTCAGATAAATTAGAATATAATTTAGAGTGAAAAGAGATAGCCCCTGAATATGAAATTAAGTAATGCCAACCTAATAAAACATAAAGCATATCTTCTATGTGGCAATCATAGTTTTTCAGTATTCTCTCCTTCTCCAAAAGTAAATTTGAAAAGCTGAAGTGGAAAAAGAAAGCATATAATTACTACACTGTAAAAAATTAGATCTACTAATTAGAAGTGGGAAAAGCTGATATTTAGTGTGTGATTATAATTAGTAAATGTGCTTTTCTACTGGAGTTAATGGCAAAATTCCAGTTGCTTATCATATCTACTACTTATTTGTCATTATGTTACTTTATGTGAGATGGACAGTTATATAAATACAATAAATATGATAAATAAATAATTATGCTGTGTAAGTGTAGATGTTTTGTTTTGCATACTATATACATATAGTTTTTAAGACTGATTTAAGTTTAAGTCAGTTAGATTTGTATTTGTAATTCTGTATTTAGTTATATTTCATCATAGAAAAACAGGGTTTTCTAAATGACTAAACAAACTAAATTGGTTAGGGTTTGGAAAGTAACAAACTGAAGGCAAAAATTTATAGAACTGCTGTCCCAGTAAAATCCCATGAATGAAATCCAGCAAAGAACAAGCAAGGGAACGGAAAAGTAACATGCTAACAGCAAACCCAAATAGCCACCAGGACTTTGTCATCTTTGGTGCTGGATGGGGTAGCACAGCCCCAGATAGTCCCAGTGTGTAATCTGGGGGTCCTCTGAGACTCACGGCTCCTGCTTGAAGAGCAGGTGGCAGCTGTGGCAAGGAGGGCCTTTGCACAACTAGGGGTTGTGCATCAGTTACACCCTTTCCTGGATCGGGATGCCCTTCGAACAGTCACTCATGC